TGGTACAAACAGCAGCAGCAGCTGCAAACCCGGGGTACTACAGCAGCAGCAGCGCAAACCCGTGGTATCACAGCACAGCTGCTAACCGGGGTACTACAGCAGCAAAAGCTGCTAACCGTGGTCTACAGCAGCGCAGCTGCTAACCGTGGTACACAGCACACAGCTGCTAACCGTGGTACTACACAGCAGCATGCTAACCGTGGTACTACAGCACGCAGCTGCTAACCGTGGTACTCCCAAACAGCAGTGCTAACCGTGGAACAGCAGCAGCAGTGCTAACCGGGACTACAGCAGCAGCAGCTGCTAACCGTGGTACTACAGCAGCAGCAGTGCTCCCGTGGTACTCAGCGCAGAGCTGCTAACCGGGGTACTACAGAAAAGGCGCTGCTAACCGTGGTACTACAGCGCAGAGCTGCTAACCGTGGTACTACACACAGCAGCTGCTAACCGTGGTACACGCAGCAGCAGCTGCAAAACCGTGGTACTAAACAGCGCAGCAGCTGCTAACCCGTGGAAATACACAGCAGCAGCTGCAACCCGTGGGTACTACAGCAGCAGCAGCTGCAACCTGGTACACAGCAGCAGCAGCTGCAAACCCCGTGGTACTACAGCAGCAGCAGCTGCAAACCGTGGTATAAGCAGCAGCAGCTGTAACCGTGGTACACAGCACAGCAGCTGCTAACCCGGGGTATACAGCAGCAGCAGTGCCCTTAACCGGGTAACTCACCCCAGCACAGGCTGCTAACCGTGGTACACAGCAGCAGCGTGCTAACCGGGGTAACGCAGCATGCTGCTAACCGTGGTCTACAGCGCGGGCTGCAAACCCGTGGCCACAGCAGCGCGCTGCTAACCGGGTACTAACAGCAGCAGCGGGCTGCTAACCTGGTCTACGCAGAGCAGGCTGCTAACCGTGGTTACAGCAGCACCCGCTGCTAACGTGGTATACAGCAGCAGCTCTCGGGGTAACCGAGTCTAAGCCCCAGCGCGCCAACCGTGGAAATACAGCGCAGTCCCCGGGGGTCAAAAAAACCGTGGTACTAAAGCAGCGTGCTAACCGTGGACTACGCAGCACTGCTAAACCGTGGTACACGCACAGCACTGCAACCGTGGTATTTTGCAGCAGAGCTGCTAACCGTGGTACACAGCGCAGCAGTTTGCTAACCGTGGTATACACGGGCAGCAGCGAAAAACGGGGTTACACAGCAGCAGCTCTAACCGTGGTACTACACACCCCAGCTGCTAACCGTGGTACTACAGCAGGCAGCCTAACCGTGGTACTACCGGGCTGCTAACCGGGGGTATACAGCAGCTGAACCCGGGGTAACACAAGCTGCTAACCGTGTACTACAGCAGCTGCTAACCGGGGTACTACAGCGGGAAAGGGCCAGCCTGCTAACCGTGGTACTACAGCGGGAAAAGGGCCCAAAGCTGTAACCGTGGTACTACACACCCAAGGGAAAAAAAGCTGCTAACCGTGGTACTACAGCAGCTGCTAACCTGGTACTACAAGCAAGGGCCAAGCAGCGCTAACCGTGGTACAAAACACGGGCAAGGGCCAGCAGCTGCTAACCGTGGTACACACGCTGCAAACCGTGGTATACAGCAGCTGCAAACCGGGTACTACAGCAACCACACAGCGCTGCTAACCGGGGTACTACAGAGCAAAGGGAACAGCGCTGCTAACCGTGTACTCCCAAGCTGCTAACCGTGGTACTACAGCAGCACGCTGCTAACCGGGGTACACAGCAGCAGCGCTGCTAACCGTGGACAAAAGCAGCAGCGCGCTACCGTGGTACTCCAGCAGCAGCTGTAACCGGGGTTTACTCAGCAGCAGGGCTGCAAAGTGGTACTCACAGCGCGGCTGCTGCCGTGGTACTGCACAGCACGGCTGCAAGCCGGGGTACTGCCGCAGCGGCTGCTACGTGGTACTGCACAGCAGCGGGCGCCGGGGTACTGCACAGCGGGCTGCTAGCCGTGGTACTGCAGCAGCAGCGGCTGCTAGCCGGGGTACTGCAGCGGGCGGCTGTAGCCGTGGACTGCAGCAGCGGGCTGCTAGCCGTGGTACTGCAGGCGGGCGGCTGCTAGCCGTGGTACTGCAGCAGGGGGCTGCTAGCCGTGGTACTGCAGCAGCGGCTGTTTAGCCGTGGTACTGCAGCAGGGGCTGCTAGCCGGGGTAACGCGCGGGGCGCTACCGTGGTACGGGCCGGGCAGCGGCTGCTAGCCGGGGGACTGCGCAGCGGTGCTGCCGGGGTACTGCAGCGCGGCTCTGCCGGGTACGCAGCAGGGGCTGCTAGCCGTGGTACTGCAGCAGCGGCTGCTAGCCGTGGTACTGCAGCAGCGGCCTAGCCGTGGTACTGCGAAAACGGCTGCTAGCCTGTATGCAGCAGCGGCTGCTACCCGGGTACTGCAGCAGGGGCTGCTAGCCGTGGTACTGCAGAGCGGCTGTGCCGTGGTATGCAGCAGGGGCTGCTACCGGGTACTGCAGCAGCGGCTGCTACCGTGGTATTGCAGCCGGCTGCTACCGTGGAAATGCAGCACGGCTGTACCCGTGGTACTGCAGCAGGGCTGCTACCGTGGTACTGCAGCAGCGGCGCTACCCGTGGTACTGCAGCAGCGGCTGCTAGCCGGGTACTGCAGCAGCGGCTGCTAGCCGGGGTACTGCAGCGCGGTGCACCCGGGGTCTGCGCAGCGGCTGCTAGGGGGGTATGCAGCAGCGGCTGCTAGCCGGGGGTTTACTGCGCAGCGGCTGCTAGCCGTGGTACTGCAGCAGCGGTGCTAGCCGTGGTACGCAGCACGGGCTAGCCGGGGGTACTGCGCAGGGGCTGCTAGCCGTGGACTGCGCAGGGGGCTGCTAGCCGTGGTACTGCGCAGCGGCTGCTACCGTGGTACTGCAGCAGCGGCTGCTAGCCGTGGTACTGCAGCGCGGCTGCTAGCCGGGTACTGCAGCAGCGGCTCTAGCCGTGGTACTGCAGCAGGGTTTGCTAGCCGTGGTACTGCAGCAGCGGCTGCTACCCGTGGTACTGCACGCGGTGTACCCGTGGTACTGCGCAGGGGCGCTACCCGGGGTACTCAGCAGCGGCTGCTACCGGGTACTGCAGCGGGGGCTGCTCCTGGTACTGCAGCAGCGGCTGCTACCGGGTACTGCAGCGGGCTGTAGCCGTGGTACTGCACAGGGGCTGCTGCCGTGGACTGCGCAGCGGCCTGCTAGCCTGGTACTGCGCAGGGGCTGCTAGCCGTGGTCTGCAGAGCGGGCTGCTAGCCGTGGTACTGCAGCAGCGGCTGCTAGCCGTGGTACTGCAGCAGCGGTGCTAGCCGTGGTACTCAAGGGCTGCTGGTGGTACTTGCAGCAGCGGTGCTAGCCGTGGTACTGCGCGCGGCTGCTAGCCGGGGTACTGCACAGCGGTGCTAGCCGTGGTAGCAGCGGGCGGCTGCTAGCCGTGGTATGCAGCAGGGGCTGCTAGCCGGGGGTACTGCCAGGGCTGTAGCCGTGGTACCAGCAGCGGTGCTAGCCGTGGTACTGCGCAGGGGCTGCTACCCGGGGTCTGCAGCAGCGGCTCTAGCCGGTAACTGCACAGGGCTGTGCCGTGGAAATTTGGCAGCAGCGCTGCAGCCGTGGTATGCAGCAGCGGTGCTAGCCGGGGTACTGCAGCAGGGGGCTGCTAGCCGTGGTACTGCAGCAGGGGCTGCTAGCCGTGGTACTCAGCAGCGGTGCTAGCCGTGGTCTGCAGCAGCGGTGCTAGCCGTCGTACTGCAGCAGGGGCTGCTAGCCGTCGTACTGCGCGGGGCTGCTAGCCGTTACTGCAGCAGCGGCTGCTAGCCGTGTCTGCCGCAGCGGCGCTAGCCTCGTACTGCAGCAGCGGCTGCTACCCCGTCGTACTGCGCGGGGCTGCTAGCCTTTACGAGCAGCGGGGTACCCGTCGTACGCAGCAGGGGCTGCTACCCGTCTTTTAACGGGAGAGGGGCTGCAGCCTCGTACTGCAGCCGGCTGCTAGCCGTCGTACGCAGCAGCGGCTGACCTCGTCTGCAGCGGGGCTGCTAGCCTGTACTGAGCACGGCTGCTAGCCGTGTACTGCAGCAGCGGCTGCTAGCCGTGGTATGCAGCAGGGGAGCTAGCCGTGGACTGCCCCAGCGGCTGCTACCCGTGGTACTGCGCAGCGGCTGTAGCCGTTACTGCAGCACGGCTGTAGCCTGTACTGCAGCAGCGGCTGCTGCCGTGTACTGCGCACGGTGCTAGCCGTGTACTGCAGCAGGGGCTGCTAGCCGTCGTACGCAGCAGGGGCTGCTACCCGTCGACTGCAGCAGGGGCTGCAGCCGTCGTACTGCGCCCAGCGGCTCTACCCGTCGTACTGCGCACGGCTCTAGCCGTGTACTGCAGCCCGGCTGCTAGCCGGTTGGCAGCAAGGGCGCTAGCCGTCGTACTGCAGCAGCGGCGCTGCCGCGACGACAGCGGCCTGCCGTCGTACTGCAGCAGGGGGCTGTACCCGTTCGCAGCAGCGGCTGCTAGCCGGTACTGCACAGCGGCTGCTACCCGTCGACTGCAGCAGCGGCTGCTAGCCTGTATGCCACGGCTGCTAGCCGTCGTACTGCAGAAAGGGGCTGCTAGCCGTGTACTGCAGCAGCGGCTGCTACCCGTCTACTGGCGCGGCGCTAGCCGTCGTACTGCAGCAGGGGCTGCTACCGTCGTCTCAGCGCGGCTGCTAGCCTCGACGCAGCAGCGGCTGCTAGCCGTCGTACTGCAGCAGCGGCTGCAGCCGTCGTACCAGAAAGCGGCTGCAAGCCGTCGTACTGCACAGGGGCTGCTCCCCGTTACTGCGCAGGGCTGTACCGTGTACGCAGCAGCGGCTCTACCCCGCTACTGCACAGGGGCTGCAGCCGTCGTACTGCAGCAGGGGTGTACCGTCGTCTGCAGCAGCGGCTGCACCCGTCGTACTGCAGCAGGCGCAGCCGCTACTGCAGCAGCGGCGCTAGCCGCGTACTGCAGCAGCGGCTGCTAGCCTCGTATGAGCAGCGGCTGTAGCCGTCGTATGCAGCAGCGGCTGCTAGCCGTTTTTGCGCAGCGGCTGCTAGCCGCGTACTGGCAGCGGCTGCAGGTCGTACTGCAGCAGCGGCTGCTAGCCTCGTACTGCAGCAGCGGCGCTACCCGTGCTGCACAGGGCTACGGGGACCGGGTACAATGTTTTCGATAGTATTTTTTTTTTTCCCCCCTTTTTTCCCACAGGGTTGGCACTAGAAGCTTTCTTTGGGCCCAGGGTGGTTTATTTACATTTAAAGCACTAAAATCAATGGAAAAATGCAAAATGTATCAAATGTATGGTGGATCCATCTAAACCTGGCTTGGAAACAATGGACCTAGCTGATGGGGGCATCGAAGCGCTCAGGCGGATGGACAGGTTCGGGAAAGAATCATGTTTGGGCGAGTTTTTTATCGTTGTTGTGCCAAAATTTTTCGTTCAGACGCGCTTAAAACCCAAATTTTTTGTTAGACGATCCTTTGTTGGTCGGGGGTCCCCAAATTTAAAAGAGGACCATCTGACTTTTACAGAGTTGGTTCCAACAAAACCCGGGCGTAAATTTTAAAAGGTGTAATCGAACCTTCTATGAATATCATCATCAATTTTTTAATGCTATTTTATTGTTTTTTTTTGGGATTTTATTTTTTTTCTTTACTTTTTATGCTTTAGTACTGTATTTTTACTGTAGGTTTTTGGTAAACACTGTGCACATCAAAAGTTGTTTATTTTCCCCGAAATTTGGGGATATAAACACGGCCCCAAGTCGAATTGTTGTATATCGGGAGGTCGTAAGCGGATGGGGGGTGTATATATACAGGGACCCCGTCATCGGGCCTAATTGCTCCAGAAGCTCAGCCTAAAAAACCCCAAAAGCCCAAAACCAAAAAAATTCCCCCAAAAATTTTGTAATTACAAATTAATCCTTTCTAGACAAAATTTCACCAAAAAAATTTTTTTTAACAATTAAATCAGTATTAATACCTTTATTGAAACAATGCTGGCTTCTGGAATGCCGTTGTACTCCTGCGTGCCTGTTACACTCCCTGCATGCCTGTTCACTCCCTGCATGCCTGTTACCTCCGCGTCCGTTTCACCCCTGCGGCCCCGTTAACTCCCCGCGTGCCTGTTACACTCCCTGGTGCCCGTTCACTCCTGCTGCCTTTACACTCCCTGCGTGCCTGTTACATCCCTGCGGCCTGCAAAAACTCCCTGCGTGCCCGCTACACTCCCCGCTGCCTCTAACTCCTGGTGCCTGCTACACTCCGCGTGCCCGCTACACTCCCAAAATTCCCGTTGCACTCCCTGTGTGCCTGTAAAAACCCCTTCATGCCCTAAACTTCCTGCTCCTCCAAATTCGCAGCAGCTAACTTCACGCTTAAATTCCATGGTGTTTTCACTTTGCAAACCACAGGGAAATTTGCTAGGGAAATTTCTTTGGAGCCATGGTTCTTATTTTTCAGTTGCACGCAAAAAAAACCCTGAAAAACAATGTTAAACAAGTGAAATTTTTTGGATGTATAGCAAAAACTTCCTACACACTGAAAAACAGCCAAACTAGGGCAAGTGGCCCCAAACCATGGACGGACACGTTCCAAACAGCCGATAACAAATTTAAGGCCGATAACCGGACGCCGAAAAAACCCCCCTTCACCGAGTTGGCCAATAACAGAAACGGGCCAATAACCAGAGGGTCCACTGTATATACACGCCCCTCGTCACTTAGCAATGTACCATTTTTCCAAATCCCGGACTTAGAGGGCTTTCTGACCCGATTCAACCTAAATTAACAGTGGACCCTCGGGAAAAAGTCATTTATAAAAAAAAAAAAATCGGGGTAGCACACGTTTTGCGTCAAAATGTTGGGCCCGGTTATTGAAAAGGAACCGGTTTAAAGGCATTCATCCCAAACATGTCGCTGGACTGAGCACATGGACACTTCTGTGCACAGCCGTGTCCATTGTTTTCAACCAGTGAGGACATTCCCACACATACAGTGGGCCCTATTTTCGTATTAATCCGTTTTGGGGCCATTACTATAAAAAAAATTTACGATTTACGAATCAATTTTCCCCCAAGAAATAATTAAAAACAATTAAAACCCTTCCTGACACCCCGAAGTATTAAAACAAAAAAAATTTTTTTAAAAAATTACATTAGTACTAAAAAATACAATGGGGAAAGATGAATGAAACATTTAAAAGCATAACACTTTACCTTTTTGGAGATTCTTCTTAGTGTATGGGAACTGGGGGAGGAGAGAGGGTTGTTTTATAGTTTTGGAAGGGGGAATCCCCCTTCCCTCAACACCCCAGGGACCATTTGCTTTTCTGGGGGTTTTCTCTTCTCTGTTTCTTAATGCCCCGGCCACCTTTGGGGTCACTGGAGTCCTGTCTCACAAAATAACTGTGGGAGGCTCTGTTTTCTGGGGTCTCTTTAACACTTCCCCAAAATGGCCCCAAGACTTGCACGACATGTTGCCACCTGGCTTGCAACAACCTTGTTAGGGGGGTTTTTTTTCCCTAAAGCTTTCCAAACTTACCCCACTATTAAAAATCTTAATTTTTGAAGAAGGCACCTTCTTTTCCCTCTCTCTTCCTCCCTGCAGCAAGATTTGGCTGCGATGTGTTGCTCTTCCTGTGAAGTTTGCAGCTCCTCAGTGGTGGCTCTTCATTGTGGTCTTCCACCAATTCTTTTCCCCCCCCCTCCAACTTTTCATCCAACCCCATGGAATCCCCCAGTGCCCAATTGATTTTTACAACAGACATAGGTCATTAGGGTCAGTCCCAAATCCTTCAAAATCCCCTTTGCGACCAATCTGGGCCCCAATTTTTTCCAGGCAAGTTCAAAGCCCGGTAGTCACTCCCCCCCCAACCCCTACTATAAGGGTTTCAATGGAGGGTGCTGAAGGTTTCTCTCCAAAATTCTCTTAGTCAAGTGGTGCGTGGCACAGTCAAGCACCTGTGAAACATTGCTTTTGGTTAATTTTTTTAAAATTTGCAAAACCTGATGGTCCATGGGTTGGAGGAGAGGAGTGGTATTTGGGGGAAGAACTTTATGTGATGAACCCAAACTCCTCGAAAATTAGTCTCCAAGTTTGGAGGATGACAGGTGCTTGTCCATTATAGCACGCACTTGAGATCCAATTTCTTTTTCCCGGGGGATACTCCCTTTAACTAGGGCCAAACCTTCATTGAACCACTCGACGAAAATTTCCCCCCCACCCAGCCTTACTTTAGATTTCCAAAACACACAATTTACTCTATAACATTGTTTTTCCCGAACCACTGGGATTTTCAGAAGGTACCTAGTAATGGCTTCACTTTTAAATCCCCCCCTACATTTGCCGAACATTAGCGTCACCTGTCTTTTTAGGCTTGTGTCCTGGCTTTCCTTTTCCCTTGTGTAATGAAGGTCCTCTTTGGCATTTTTTCCAAAAGGGCCTGTTTTTTTCACAATTGAAAACTTGTTCAGTTTAGTCCTTCAGCCTCTATGTCTCCTGGAAATTTATGCACATATTTTTCAGCCCCCTTGTGGTCTGAACTGGGAGCCCACCATCCTTACCCACTGTGTATGCCAGTAGGTTCTTAAATCTCTCAAACCGCCTTGCGGGGCCCTTTAAATTCATCGCATCACCATATTTGCAGGGAAATTTTTTTTAAAATCTTCATGCAACTGCCTAGCCTTTTCACAAAAATCGAAGTCAGAAGATATCTCCACTAATTGTTTTTTTCATTTTTCCACCCAAAAATAACTTTCAAAATCTTCCCGTATGGTGACTCATTTTGTCACATAGTGACCCCTTTGCAAAAACAGCGTCCTTTTTCCTTTTCTTGGCCGCTAGGAAAAAAGGTTGTGTAGGGTTTCTTATACACCGTACAGTTCGGCCCCCCTTTTACCACTTTCAATTTTTCTGATGGTTTTCTTAAATTTAATCATATTTCCCACCCTTTTTTACCACAGGCTTGGATGGAGCTTTCTTTGGAGCCATGGTAGCTTATTAGTATTGAAGTACTAAATAAATGGAATATTATGAAAAATTTCGCTGAGCACGTGAGGGGACCTTCGCCATGGGAAACAATGCCCCGACTGGCTGCCGCCCTGGCTCACCCATGGGGACGCGTCCCGGACGAACTACGACTCGCGAGTCAACCTATGAAAAGCGAGTCCATGTTTATACGAAAATACCCCTACGATTGGCGAAATTTACGATTGCCGGGAACTAGAAAAACGGGGGCCACGTACATGCGAATATTTTGTGTTTTCCATTGTTTTTTGTGCCCCAGGGGCCCCAAAAAAAGCTTTTTGTTCCCGTCCTTTGGTAAAGAGGGTGAGAAACACTATAGAATTCAAGATAAAGTTTGTTGAAAGATACGAAAGTGGTAGTGGTAGAGGGTGGTAGTGATGGTGGTAGCATGGGCCAACAGGTCTGCTGCAGTGTTCCTGCTTTCTTTTGTACACCAGCGAGGGTATTCCCCACATACCGGCCCGGGTACTTCCCCAAACCAGCCCGGGGATTCCCCCCAATCCAGCCAGGGTACTTCCCCCATACCCGCCAGGGGACTTCCCCACATACCCGCCAGGGTACTTTCCCCAAATACACCAGGGTTCTTCCCCCCAACCAGCCCGGGTACTTCCCCACAACCAGCCAGGGTTCTTCCCCATATACCAGCCAGGGACTTCCCACATACCCCAGGGGTTTTTCCCCACATACCAGACAGGGTACTTCCTCACACACACACGATTTGATTTGATTGGGACTTGTGCATGAGTGAATAGAATCATCAAAGCTTATTGCTTGGGTAGCATTGAAAATTGGGTTGGGCAAATATGATTCTGTTAGTGGGATGGTTTGTGAAGGACCTGCCTAGTATGGGCCAACAGGCCTGATGCAGTGATCCTGCTTTCTTATGTGCAAACATTTATGGATGAACATCACCCTGACACAGCTGTTGCAGGCCGTGCTGGCAACATCTACAATGACAATGTTGTGTCCCATTTTAGGGAAATCTTAGAGACACCAGGAACAGAGCTCTCTGGACAGATTTTTGGTGCAACAGGGGTTCAGCGACTCAAACTGGCCCTAGTGATATTAAAAAAACAAAGAAGGGAGGTAACCCCAGAAAATGACTATTTACCAGAAATCTTTATGGAAGGGG